CCGGACCGGGCCCCGTGCGGGACCCACAAACACGGCCGTGGCTGTGCCCCTAGAGGCGGTGGAAGAAGGAGTAATAGCTGTAGTTGTGGTAGTAGTAGTAGTAGTAGTAGCAGCAGCAGCAGCAGCAGTAGTCGTAATAGTAGCACTAGCAGTGGCGGTAGTAGTAGTAGTAGTAGTAGTAGTAGTAGTAGTAGTAGTAGTAGGAAAATGATTGTAGGAGTTGCAGATGCAGTTGAAGTAGTAGTAGTCGTCGTCGTCGTAGTATTGGCAGATGGCAGCAGTAGTAGTAGTAGTAGTAGTAGTAGTAGTAGCAGTTGTAGTAGTAGTAGTAGTAGTAGTAGTAGTAGTAGTAGTAGTAGTGGTGGCAGTAGTGGTAGTAGTGCTTGAAATAACACCATGACACAACTTCTTCTTGAGAACCTACTCTCTTTTGGCGAACGGCAGAGCTCGGTGCCCTTATGCATCACTCTAAGGCCCTATGCCTTGCATCCGTCCTACCGAAGAGACCCTTGTTCGGGGTTTAGACTCTCGCAACTGGGGCAATGCAGGCGAGGAAGGGTTTACGGGTTTTGGGTTTAGGGTAACTACTAAACCTGGCACCCCTTAGACCGAAGAAATATCTAAACCCTGGCATCCTTGAGGCACAACTCGTAACGGAGAGCCCAGGCTGCCAAGATACATAGAGGCTCCTTCGGAGTCCGATGCGCTCTTGCTGTGGTGTTAGAGGATCCGCGTGCATGCCTCCGGGGTGAAGATGCATGTACGCGGCGGATTCGAGGGCCCTGAAACCTCGAAACCCTAAACAGGTTTAGGGTTTAGGGTTTAGGGTTTAGGGTTTAGGAAGTCGTAAACCAGTGATCCCCAAACTTGCAGAACTGCAGGAGCCGGTCTCTGGTGCTCCCTCTCTCCTCTCTGCGTGGGCTCTGAGATCTCACAACCATAGCCTGCAATGACGGCATAGGCATACAGGCCACGGATTTCCACAGCCAAAATGGCTGAGACTCAAACAAACAAGTGGAGGTTCGCAGACAAAGCTTCTGAGAGCCTTCCGCTGAGACTCGCTGAATCGCTCCAACCCATGCATCTGGGGGCACAGCATGCTGCTGATCTGGTCGGGCATCACCCACTTGACACCGTTGTTGGAAGACACCTTCCGAAAACCAGTCATGCCGAAGTTGGCCGTGACTGCATGCTCGCGCTCGAAATCGGTGCTTAACCAATATCTGCAGGTCCTGCCTTGACAGTGCCTGCGGGCACCCGGTATCCTTCTGCTGAGGTGTCTGACCTCTGCGACACCCGACTCTCACACTGAAGTAGTACCAGCCAGGATCGAGGACTTCAGGAAGGATTGTTAAAGAAGCTTGCTTGGAACTTGTCAGAAATGCCGTGCAATCAAGCTAGGGCAACTTGGCCGCACGTGAATCAAGTAAATGAACTATTCTACCGTTTGGCCTTACGGTATTGGTCCTACAGAAGAGCTCGCGATGTCTCAGCTTCAGAAACTTCTGCCTGGCTACACGATCATTCCCTGCTTCCCCGTCACAAATCTGGGGTTTGGGATTCAGGGCTGTTAAGTTAAAGGCTTAATCGTTTCGGGTGCAGGCTTACATGTTAGGGTTTAGCGGGCTTAGATGTTTAGGGTTTGGTGCTTGGGGTTTGGCAACACACGCTGGGTGCCGGTGCGCATATGCTGCCAGGACCACCCCGGGCAGCCACGCCTCTTGCAGCAAGCCGGGAAAGACTTGTGGCTTTGGGGTCTACAACCGAATCCCTCAAAGGAAGATCGCCGAGGCCTGTGCTACTGCCCCAACATAGTTGCTATAGTCGGTAGTAGAAAAAACTGTGTTCCCCTTGCTCCGACTCTTATTCTGCTGTCAGTTCGCAGCCGCCGGTAGTCTTAGCAAGTAGTGGGCAAAGTCGTTGTCGCCGCTGACACCGTTCCTAGTAACAGTATTCCTTCGGCTCGGCACTTTGATTTGTAGCATAATTGGCTCCAACGCATTATAGTACGCGCATGGTTTCAGGCCTCCTCTTGTGGCTATAATAATCGTTACAATAGCTATAATAATCTTATAACCCAATTAAGTCCCCCCAGGGCTCCCTCGTGTAATCATAATACACTCGTTACCATCATCTTATGACCCCAAACCCCATGAAGTCCCCTAAACTAGCAGCAAGCCTTCTTCGAATCGCTCCAGACTTCCAACACCTGGCCCTCGCGAAAGGCAGCCGCGCCCCTGGTTGTCCGGGGTTTGCAGGGGTTTTGGATCTAGGGAGCTTAGGATTTACGAGGTTAAGGGGCTTTAAGGGGGCTTCTGCTCTCACACGGGTTTAAGGCTTCTTTTGAGCTCAATAATAGGATGTCGACTCTCACACTCTCCCGTTCGCACACAACAGGCAGGGCTTCACGACAACTTCGGCCAACTAGCTACGCCCGGCCTCGAAAAAACTTAAGATTTCGACACTCACACTTTCTCAAGGCAGATAAGGCTTCAAGCAAAGTCGCTTACGATTCGGTCTGAAGTTCAGGGGAGCAACACCCGGCCCTCTATCTAATGTAGAAGCCTTAATAATTAGAAAAATAATTGTAATGAGGAACCCCCAATATAGTATAGGTAATTATTTAAGCCCATTTTACGCACTGTGCGGGCCTTTGGGCGTTGGGTTGACATGGAGTTCGGCAGCAGTGAAGAGACGGTTGTGTGAGGAGCATGCGACACCTATGCACTCACTGAGACGAGTGTATCGGCAATAGCTCAAGAGGCAATACAACCGGCAATAGCTCAAAAGGCAATACAACGAAGAGTAGCAGGAATGATTAACAACTTTCGACGAAAACATGACAACATGATGACTATGACTACTACTTGCTCTCGCTAACTCTGCTCTCCATCGTTGCAGCACTGGATCAACACTGCCATCCTGCTGTTTCCTGATCTTCCGTTTCTTTGCAGGGAGATAGAGGCAATTATCCCTGCTTCAACCCATCCTTGAAATCCCTAAACCCTAAACCCTAAACCCTAAACCCAGGGTCCTCATTCCCAACTTCCCTACTGAGCCATTCTCCGAGCTTGGGACCCAGGCGTGGGACTGGTCGGGGCCTGGATGGAGCCCAAGAGGGTGCCGTGCTCCGGCAAAACCTTTCAGTGGGGCTTAGGTAAATTCGGCGAAGAGGTTGTTCGGAGTTTCTAGGGCCCGCTCAAACCATGGCGAGTTCGTAGTTTTGAGCAATTTTCGGTGCCTTTCCCGTTGTCCACAAGTCAAACACCAATGCCCCTGCGACTAATATGCCTTTCCTGAAACCCAGTGGGCACATTGGTTTGAAATTGCTTCGGGCTTCAGCCTTATACCCTAAACCCTAAAACCTGAACCC